GTGGGCTGTTTTCCAACATGGCCGACTTTCGTGGGCGCCACCATCTTGAATTCTTAATTCGGCTCCGGATTGGCTAAAAATAAAATAGCGCCACCTTGGATTTGGAGAACAATAGCATCCATTGTTCTCCAAACAATAGCCTATTGTCTTTCTCGGCTCCTGATTGGTTACGGCCCATTTTCACGGAAAACCAATTTGACGGTTAACGTCGACTTATTGCTTCAAATAGTAACGATCGTAAACTGAAGTAGCAATATAACGAATTTTTAATCAATTTACTTGAAATGCTACGTAACATAAGACCAAGGGGGCGTGTAACAATCTACATGTGTACGTCGATAACGCGAGAAAATAAGAACGAACAACGTAAATTATACATAGACAAATCATTATAAACTACGTTAAAACTACTCGAGATTGTATGAACAATCAAAAGATGAACATTTGCGACTGATCAACAGCCCAGAATCATGTCTAGCCTTAAATGTGGGCGTAACTAGATAAGGCTCTGATTTATGCGATTGCTCCCTTTTTGAATCCAAGACAATCAAAATTGTGTTATGTACGATTCTGTACATATATCTGCTTTCGCCCAAAATAGAACAAACTAAATCTAAACAAACTAAANAAAATAGGGCCATCTTGGATTTGGAGAACAATAGCATCCATTGTTCTCCAAACAATAGCCTATTGTCTTTCTCGGCTCCTGATTGGTTACGACCCATTTTCACGGAAAACCAAGTTGACGGTTAACGTCGACTTATTGCTTCAAATAGTAACGATCGTAAACTGAAGTAGCAATATTACGAATTTCTAATCAATTTACTTGAAATGCTGCGTAACATAAGACCAAGGGGGCGTGTAACAATCTACGTGTGTACGTCGATAATGCGAGAAAATAACAACGAACAACGTAAATTATACATAGACAAATCATTATAAACTACATTAAAACTACTCGAGATTGCATGAACAATCAAAAGATGAACATTTGCGACCGATCAACAGCCCAGAATCATGCCTAGCCTTAAATGTGGGCGTAACTAGATAAGGCTCTAATTTATGCGATTGCTCCCTTTTCGAATCCAAGACAATCAAAATTGTGTTATGTACGATTCTGTACATATATCTGCTTTCGCCCAAAATAGAACAAACTAAATCTAAACAAACTAAATAAAACTACGAAAATCACTTACATATCGGTCCCGCTTGTGCCAAGGTTAGGAAACGAAGGACAGCAAAGGTACTACTAATCGAGGCGAAATCTTACGAAACTCTGTTAAAGGGACGCTAACTAAGCTTTTATATGCGCGTGGTGACGCTAAAAGGTCCGATTACAAAACCAATAGGAAACTA